GAGGAAGAGGAAGAAGAGGAGGAGGAGGAGGAGGAGGAAGAGGAAGAGGAAGAAGAAAACACCCCCTATGACCCAGCTACTCCATTCCTAGATATACAACCAGTGGAGATGTGTTCCAAGCTTACTCATGGCAGCACTAAATGTAATTGTTCCCAAATAGATTAAGCCAAATACCCATCAATAGCAGTATGGGTGTTTCATTTCTTAATGTGTGTGCTGGTTACCCAGGCATGTGCAGTTTATGAAAATTCGCTGAGTTTGTGAATTTCTAATTTGCATATTTTAATTATTTGTATATTTATAATTCATTTTTCTGTATGTATGGAAAAATGCCACCAAATTCTCTAGTTACTTATTGTCATCGATTACTTTTTAATACTAATGGAAAGAAGTTTTCATCAACAACCTACAGCTGCACTTTAGATTCATAATGTTCTAGTTTTACAACACTTAATGCTTTTATAACGATGACTCCCATTAGTTTCTTGGGAAGAACTAAGGTAAGCCTAAGAGAATGAGTAACACTTTTTGGTTGCAGATGCTGTGTACATCTATTGCGGTAAAACAAGATAAAATACATGTTTTCCGCAGTGATAAGGCTATGCCAGAGCCTGGCGTGCATGAGATAAGGATGGCAAGTCTGCTACCATATGAGACTGCAAAATTCTACATTTAACTTCAAAATACTAATGAATTCTAACTTGTAATAAACAGATGATCTTCACGTTGTAGGTAATACGTGGCCAAAACACATGTAAACAAATTATTTCATGAAGTAAACAGCCATACTGAACCTAGTCACTTAATGGTTTATTGACTTATAAGTTTAACCCGAAAGAATTCACTTAAGTTGTCACTAGAAACTGGCAGGGATACCTTCTCACAGTCATTAATGGTGCGGAAGAATGAAAGCTGCAGTACAAGGTGAATCCTCTAAAGGAGAGGATTCAATCTGGGAGCCTAAAACTGGCCCATACTGATTTTTGGTTTTTGTCTTGCACTGTGGTTTTAAAGTGACACAGTTGACAATATTTCATACTATCTGGTTTTCCAGCTTCCTATGAAAAATTAGAGCTCTGAAAACACTGGGCCTGCATTTTGAAGGGTCACGGAGTGCTCTCCTGGGCAGGCTCTCTCTAGTTCCCCACGGCTCCTCTGTAAACAGCAGTTGTCTCCCCTTGGTCTCCTGCAATTTTGTCTCTTATCAGTGGTTCATTCCAGAAGGTCAAACTTAAAAAGTAGTGTGCATGATAGAACAACAGATTGGGGTTTAACTTTGGGTACCACTGCTTCACAAAATTTGGTTAAAACACTAGGAGCTACGTAAAACTTAGAGAAAAAGAATTCAACTGATGCTGGATCGTTAGACACTGGTCTTACTACTTAAATGTGTGACCTGGGTGAGTTAACTTCCAGGAACTTCACTTTCTCATATATAAAGTAAATAATACATTTATATATATTATATATATATATAAAAGAATATAAAATTATATATATATATATATTTATTTGTGTGTGTGTATGTGTGTGTGTGTGTGTGAGTGAGAGAGAGAGAGAGAGAGAGAGAGAGAGACAGAATGTCTCGCTCTGTCGCCCAAGCTGGAGTGCAACGACGCACTCTCAGCTTACCACAACCTCCGCCTCCCAGGTTCAAGTGATTCTCCTGCCTTAGCCTCCCAAGTAGCTGGGATTACAGGTACATGCCACCACGCCTGGCTAATTTTTATATTTTTAAGTAGAGACGGGGCTTCACCATGTTGGTCAGGCTAGTCTCGAACCCCCGACCTCGTGATCCACCCACCTCAGCCTCCCAAAGCGCTGGGATTACAGATTTGAGCCACTGCACCCAGCTTTTATTACATAATTTTTAAAAGACATTTCCAGTTCTAAAATTCTTTGATTGTAATATACTATCTTTCGTATTTTAACTATATTAGTGAATCAGAATTCCAAGTAAACAAATATTAAAATGATCATGAAAACGATGATTGGGACAATTTGTTTTTAAAGTGAGAATGACATTTAAAAAAATAAATTGGGTAACACTCACATCCCTGTGATTGTAGCATAGGATCATTACCCACAAAACAACTTGAGTTACCTAGTAAAAGGAATAAGGTTTCCTTTGGAGTTGATTCAATACAGAGTAATGGTTAAGATTTTAGGTGGCAGACAAATCCCTACTCCTCCATCTACTGTAGGAGCATGATTAAGTTACTCAAATCATTCAAACATGTTCCCTTCTTTTACATACAAATAACACCCACTTTGCAAGGTTGTAAAAGTCAATGAAGTAATGTGTGTAAATTGCTAACCATTACTGGCTATTATCTATTCTACTGGCTACCCAAAACTCTGGAGAATAGCAGCTTTTATATTGCTTGCATAAATGCACACAAAATCTGCACTGTTTCTTCTAAGGGGATTATAAATGGCTTTTCCCTGTAAGGCCATAAAATATATAATTCATCCTCATTATTGCAAGATTCTGTTTTTGTGACTTCAACTACTCACTAAAATGTAACCAACAAATCAATATTTGCTCAGGGCACTTCCGCAGTCATTCACGCACATGGACAGAGTGGTCAACAATTTGAGTCACCTGACTTACACATTCCCAGCTGAGGTTGAACACTGCCATGCTTTGCCTTCTTTTTTTTTTTTTTTTTTTTTTTTTCAAGAGTCTTGCTCTGTAACCCAGGCTCCAGGACAGTGGTGTGAACTTGGCTCACTGCAACCTCCGCCTCCCGGGTTCAAGTGATTCTGCTGCCTCAGCCTCCCACGCCAGCTCGTTTTCCTATTTTTAGTAGAGATGGGGCTTCCCACTGT